ATGGACCAATCGCGCGGTCTGGAAAAGACATTTCGAGGTCGAAAAAAAGAGCAGCCCCTGCCTGAACGCCGTTTCTGTTCATAGGTCGTTTCTGTGTAATGGCTTGTTCCAACATTGTTCCGTTTCCCACCAGACGGCTACACGTTCAAAATTGGGACGACTTGCACCGTTTTCTAGCAGAAGACCGTTTCCTGCCAGAGGCCGCATCTTTCCAGAGGCCGTTTCCTACGAGAGGCCTATCACCCAAGACGATTTGATCTTGTTGCATCAGCCCAACGGCAGATGCAACAAGTTTTGTGCAATTTGCGCAGAAACTCCACTTTGGGCGAGATGCAAATCCACAAGCAAGGTTGGTCTCGTGGTTCCACGTGTGCGCCTCGCGGCCTCGCGGCCGTTGCCGTTCATGCTGAAACTGCAGGTGGGCCAGTAAGGCATCTAGGCGGGGGAGAATGGCTGAATCCAGGTGATGGGAAGCCTCGAAGCAGGCAAATGGGCAGCCTGTGTGACAACACGAGTGGCCGTGAAAGTTGGACCGCAGTTGCAGAGCTCCTCCTCGGTTTTGTGAACGTGTTCAGTGCTTCCTGTTTGGGTAAGGGCTCCTGCGCATTTTTCTGGGCTGATGTTGAACTGGTACTGGCTCAGTTCAGCTGGCAAAGCAAAAGGATGCATACTTGTTTGTGTACAATGTAAGATTTATCTTGCAGAGAACAAAGAAGATCACTTGAGACCACTTTTTGATCAGTTTTGCCGAATCTCATTTCTGCATTCTGGTTTCTAAGAAAGATTGGAAGCGCATGCTACGTTCCACACATACCCACACACACACATGTAAGATAGACACGTGAGCAAGTGTGTCATGCGCTTTGTTGTCAACAGAGAAAATAGAAAGTGGCAACTGTCACAACTTGCTGCCAACCGAGCATATTTTGGGGTTCGTCTGTTACACGGATCCTTGCAACCCTTGTGTTCTCTTCTTTTGGATCCGAACATTGGCCACTGTGAGTTCTGCCAGGGACAACTTGTGTTTCTGGCGAATTCGCTGTTGCCAAGCACCCTGCTTGGGCTCGAGCAAGCTGTGCGGCTGGTGAACGTGCCGCCCGTGCATCCGTGCATGGTTGGACACGTTGTGGCGCATTTCTTCCCTATCTCAGTTTTTGCGGCGTCAGGCGGAGCGTTGATGGGTCAGACCTGTCATTTATAGCATTTTGAGTTGGTGCCATCGACCCTGGTTTTTGCAGCAAAAGAAACGTACGTTTTGTAACGGTCAATGCATGCGAGAGAAAAAGCGAGAGAGAGAGACTTGGAGAGCGAAAACGAAAAAGAGATGAACACGCGCTGAGAGAAAACTGCAGGCAACACGGATTGAGAAAAAGTGACAGGCGGCGGAGAACTGGCGAAATCCACGGAACCCCGCCGTCACGGAACCCCGCCGTGTCAGTGAGTTGTGCTTCTGCAAACTTTCCTTCACGCCGCATTTCAACTGCGCATAGTTGGGTCTCAATTCCCTGTGGCCACAAAGGCGATTCTCTGCAAGGAAAACATGCAAGTGAGGCCACCACAAAGCCACAACGGGCCACAAACGAGTGGTTTGAGGCCACGGCAAGCCACAACAGGCCAAAAACGGGTGGTTTTCATGCCACAAGCCACCACAAACCAAGAACATGTGGTTGTTTTGTTTCCAAATGAAACCTTAAATGAGGGGCACTATAAGATATCAAAAAGGCAGGAAAGCTCAAGTGAACTCCCCAATGAAGAAAGCACAACGAGCGCATCTGAAAGTTGTGAAAACAAAACCAAGAAAACCCACAAGAATCCTACCTGAAATGTTGTGAGAAACAACCAAACAGCATGACACATTCAAACTTGTCAAACACACACAAATTATTTTGTTAAAAGGTGTGTAGATTCAATAAGGAGTGTGGAAGCATGAGTTTAAATTCCAAAAGCACAATTTTTTCAATCCATAACTTCAGTTTCACCTAAATTGCTGTCACTTTCACAGGCTAGATAAAACGTTCTGGAGTCCAGCGTGCAGACTTATGCTCCAGAAACTTCGCTGAACCCTCTTTCGAATGCCACCAGCGCCTGGAAGCTGGACAGAACAAAGAAGTTCAAGGATTCGGAAAGGAGCATCCAACTGGCGGGTAGCATGTGGCAGGTTTAGATGCTGGCTGGATGCTTCCTCGGATAGCACTCATAACTAGTGTTATGAATCGTGCATGCGAGCATAGCTTGGTACAGCTGCTCGACAAATGGTCAACATGCTGGAAGCATTTGCGGACGCCGCTCTCGAGCCATTGGACGCATGCGTATGACAGGTATTCAATTCAATTGCGACCATTTCCCGTTTTATTGCAACTGTAATTTTTTGTCGGCTTTAGATTGTTACATGTTGTTTTGCATCGTCACGCATTGAGACTTCCCGCTGCATGTCATACATTGCTATGAGTGCTATTGCTTGACAGCGATGGGCCAGTCCCTCGCTTCGCACAAGGCCCCGGGAGTTGTACAGTGTCGGCAATGATTGTGAAGGCACGTTCGTTGCCAAGAGGCAAACTCCAGTCAAACGGGCGATGCTTGGCTTGCATCTGCTTTGGGCAACCCCAAAGAGGCTCGCTGCGCTGTTGAGTGGATTTGACGTTCGGGTGGGAATGGTGAGGCACACAGATAATTCCTCAACAGTGTGTCGAGTTTTTCCTTTTGGTGTTGCTGTCAGCTCGTGATGCAACAAGGCATTGAAAGAGGTCGTTTGTCGTTGCAACCTGAAGCTTTCCATTTCCAATGAAATCTGTCGTCTGTGCAGCGTCCCGCAGGGTGAGACCAGGCCCGAGTTTGGCGAGGATGCGGCCAGCGCAGTCGAAACAAAGTTTGAACCTCAGGGTGTTGCCTTGGATTCGGCGAAACGCTTTTTTGCTTCAGAATGTAATGTCTGGATTGTGCACGATGGTGCAGGCTGCTTAGTTCTCTCATTCGCCCTTCAGATGCGCCACAGCCCCAGATTGCACTCGGTATTTGTTTGGAAATGCTCGAGTTTCGTTGAATCGAAAGCAAAGGACGCTTGTGTTTGTGACACAACCTCCTGTGGCAATGTGAAAGTCTTCCATTCTTTCAGTGCTGAAGCATGCAGCGCTACAGTGCAGCGCCACGTTATGGAAGTGCCCGAGTCCTTCCATGCTGCTTTCGGCGATGATGAGGTCGGTGTTCAAAGTTCTCCGAGCCCGTTTTGCTCAGGAGGTCGGTTGTCAGCGACTCGATGTCGATGTTGTTTCGTTCCTGTTCCTAGCTGACGAGCTGCTTCCTATAGCGTTTGTGTTTGTCACTTCTGTAGGTATTGGTGGTGGCATGGGTTGTAAGCGGTTGTTCTGATACCTTTGTTGAAGTGATGCTTGCGGTTTTGGTGATCGTTGTCTTGGTTGTGCTTGTGCCAACATTTTTTTTGGATGACTCGTCATTGGTGTTTTGATCGCCATCGCTTTTGCAGTTTTGCTAACTGTAGGTTGTTGTGATGGTTGCAGTTGAGGTTGTTCTTGTCACCGAGGTTGTTGTTGCAAGTTTTGCTTGTTGGTTTTAGTTGTGACGGAGATGGTTGTTGTTGTTGTTGCTGCTCCTGAATGACTGTCTCTTCTTTTACTGCGCTTAGCTCTACTCGTGACATGGCCGATACTTACATGGGTGGTTCTCTAAATTAGGGCCCTTTTGGTCTGCCAAACTATAGGATGCCGGTTTTAGAACGGAATTATATGGGGTTCTTCAAAAGGACCATGATTTTGACAGTTGCCCACAAGTGCTACCTGTTTGCTTGATTCTGATTGTTTCATTCTTCTGTCGGCCAGGGCCCCCCATGGTCTGAAGAAGCATCGTTCATCCGCTTGTTGGAATCAGCGGCATCGGGCAGAGGACATCTATACCTACGGCGCGCTGAAGTCCCTGGTCGTGTGCAATCCATTCAGGCCCTGACCCCAGGAGCGGAGAACCCGGGTTTGGCAAGGTGGCGAGCTTCATTTGGGACTTTCCGAAAATTAGGGTACCTTATTTTGGGGTCCTTTTAATAAGGATCCTACTATTTAAGGCAAAATTTAAGGTACTATATTAGGGTCCCCTATTTTCGGAAACCCCATATGAACTTCAGTGACCAGTGCAGCCCTTTCCCACGGCGATCAGTTCTTTGGGATCTCTCGCCGAGGCCAGTTCCTTGTCTTGAAGATCCTAGCATTTTGCCATTCTACAAGGCACCGTCGTTGGTGAAGCTGAATCACATGCTCTGTTGCATTTTTTCGAAATTCCCGCTTCGTGGCTCGGCGAGCTTCCTGCAAAACAGCTCTTCCATCATGATTTCCGGCGCAGATTTCCGAGCTTCCTGCACGCCTTCCAGGCATGTCTGCGGGTCGACGAGCTTGAAGGCTGTCGCGGATGCCGGGGCAAGGGACCGGCTTGGATTTCACTGATTCCGTCTGGTGATTGCTGATCGTGTCCATAAGATTATTGGGGCCCGTCAGTTCTCAAACGGTACATCACTCAGAGACCGTGATCTCTTCACATTGTGGATTGCTTTAGCCTCAACGATTGGAGACAAAATATAACAGGACGTGCTCACCAACCTGTACTCCTCGCTTCCCCAACCCCGGGTGTTCCACGGCAGAGCAGATTCCCCCAAATGCTTCCATGCCCAAAGCACAGGGAATCCTAAACCAATTGAACTCGTTTTCGGATATGAAGAGACAGAGAGGTTCTGGAGCATTCAGCTCTGAAGAGCCTCACATTTGGGCTGCATGTCGGGATGTGCAAGCCTCAGAGATCTCAGAGCAGTGTGAAGACTCCGCAGAGATCTTAGGGCGTGGAGCCACGAACGTCAAATTTCGAGCGGTGTGTTTGGGTGGGTCGAGCTGCCACTCGTGTTCACTCCGTTCTGCAATCCAGGCCTGGGGATACATCCGCAGAACTGGGCCTGAGACTGAGATAGGCCAGAAGTCGCAGCAGCCATGGCTAAAAGGAGTGTTACTTGTGTTGGACATGTCCGAAACGAGGCGAAGCGTCTCCTTCGTGATTCAGGCCTCCATTGTATGCCTGGGAGCATGGACCGCTCAGAAAGACTAAGACCAGTCAGCTGTGCTGTTTCGACCCTCATGCTTGTCATCAGGGAGAAAGTGGTGCCGGAAAGACGGAGACAGCGAAGGCCTGCAGTTCAGAGACGGAAAGTGAAGCTGTCGAAGCCTTCAGCACTTTTGCAGCACGTGATGCTGTACTTCTCATCACCTACGCGGCAGCATCTCGTCATGGAAGCTTTTGGGGTGGGGAGCTGCTGCTTTGGATAGTTCGGAGACCTCTGGGATGGTGTGGTGTTCAGGTTTTCGATGTTTGCTACTTCTTATCGTGCCCGTGCACCATGATAGGAAGGTCTTATCACCATGTGCCAATGTGCGTGTTGTCCGTTCCTGCTTGCTTTGCTGAGGTCCGCCGCCAGGCGAGCTTTCTGTACCCTCGTGCATGCTGGGGTGGGTTGGTGCCTGCGGGACATTCTTGTGGTCGTCGAATCTTAGCATTTCGAGCATGATGTCGCAAAGACCTCGACAGTTTGAAGCCTTGAAGTTTTAGCAAGATTCGTAATGTCCTCGGATGTGCAGTGCTTGCAGAAGCGCTCGTGGTGAGCAGTGGTGATCGTGGTCATGGTGGTCGCAGGTCATTTGTATGCTGATCGGAATGATGATGGTGAGGATGACATTGCATTGAGGTGCATTCTGTCGTCGTCGTTGTACAGCTGAGGGTTCAAGCAGAATCTGCTGAATGCCGGAAGCTGCTGTGATTGTACGGCCTGTTGTGACGGAGGAGGTGATGGTGGCGGATGCCATTGCATGGATGGTCCCCTTTGTCATCTTTAACATTTACTTTTCATCATTCTAGTCATCATCATCATCATCAGCATCGTTGTGGGTATTCATCACTAATCATTGCTAGAGATATCGGCTTGCTTGCATTATCCTGCAATGTGCGGAGGCAAGGACGGGCCCGCTCCAGCTCCGTCAGCCTACAGAATGGCAGGCAGCTGCTGTCGTTGGGGTGCCTCCGTACTAGTGTGCGGTGCGGATAAGCTGTTGAATCTTCTTGGATGGCAGGTTGGATGCCAATGCAAGCCTCGGCTTGCAAGATGGCGAGAAGGCGACTGCCCAAAAGTATGCTGTACCGTCTCAGGTAGCATTGGTTTTTTCAACGACGTCACCAGAAACCCGGCACACGTTGTTTGTACCACCATCACTGTTAAACCAGCATGCTCCAACTTCCCAGGGCTTTGCACATGCTTTTTCGTGTATGTAAAGTCTTTTCACCCACCAGCACTGGCCGGTGATTATTGCGGCGTTACTTTACAATTATCAGTATCAGTCTTCGGGCAGTCTTCGGGCCTTGACAGTTGTGGTATGTGGTGCTGGTCGCCTGGTCGCCATGCAGCAGACGAAGTATCTCAGAGTAGCATGAGGTGGCTGGTCGTGCGAGCAGTAGCGCTGCAAATGGTGAGTGGTTATTGCCATGTGCAGCCGTGTGAGATGTTCTGCACTGTGCGAGGCCGGCATCCACCAGATCATGATGAGCGCCAACCCCGTGACGGAGGCCATGTACTGGGATCCGGTACTGCTTTTGATTCATGCTACACACTGTTCTAAATTCACGTATTGTATGATATACAGATATATATATATATATAATATATATATATATATGTATTATATATACATATATATATATACATATATATATATGTATATATATATATATATTGGATTGTTTAATATACTGTACGATAATGTACTATGTTACAGAAAGAAGAAGAGGTCCGGCAGAAGCCTGCTCACGAGGCTTTGGGCAACGCCCGTACCCTGCGAAACGACAACTCCTCGAGGCTTCGCGCTTCTGGGAACGCCGGGCATGAATTCGCGGGAATGTTTAGGAGACTCGAGGAAGGCTCATTCTTCCGAGGTGGTCCTAGGTGGTGAGTGAGACCGGCCCTGAAGGCTTTTGTCCTAGCCGTTTCGACAGATTCTGTCTTATCTGCAACCTACTTCCGTTGCAGGTTTGGCCGCTTCGTGAAGCTATTTCTGAATGTCCGGACCTCACACTCCTGGTTCGCTGCAAGATGAAGGCCATTTTCACCGCAGAGTTTCACGAAAGCATGGGCCTGGCCGAGCGGGTTCTGCCTGGCGCCTCACAGCTCTGCACTCTCTTGGGTTGCGTATCGCTTCTCAAGATGCCACCGAGGCAGCCGGCGAGATTGAGAGCAGCGAGATGTCCATCTACTCTCTCGAGAAGTCCACCTCTGCTCGTTTCATCGCGCTGTCTTCCAGAGAGTGCTGATCCTTAAACCCTAAACCCTAAGCCCTAAACCCTTGAGCTCATGTCCGGGCACTGGAGGGCCAGGCCTTCCGGCCCCTTCAGTTTGAGGCGGTCCCGGCCGATTGGTGGCTCAAAGCTTCAGGCTCGAGATGTGACATGAAATGACAGCGTGGAGCGATGAGGCGGAGGGCCGCAGCAGCACTGATTGACAAGAAAAAGGTATAAAAACCCGTTACGGAGGGACAGAACCCCAAGAGCCTTTTTAGAGCCTTCTGGCCCAACCCACTGGTAGTGGTCTAGCCCCCCTCGGAGGCCCTGCAGGCCCAGTTCGCTCGTGGCCGTTGCTTCCCCGCATGGGTGCCAGCACCTAGAGCTCCCTGCGCCGGAATCTCGGGGGGATGACGTGGGATGGCTATGCCCTTGCACCTGCATTGCACCTCAATGTGTCTCGGCCCCCTCTGCCTGTTTCAGCTCCTTTGAGCCTCAAAAAGCATCCTGAGTACAGAGCCCTGGGCGAAGCCATGCCGGCCAACTGCGAGAACGTGGCGAGCCCCGAGCCCGAGATGCTGAACTACAAGTCCTGCAGAGCCCTCGTGGTCAAGGCCGCCTTCCCTGGGCATGGGCTTGGTTTTTGCAAGGACGTTTCCGCAGGTTTTCTGGGAGACTTGTGCCAATGTCAGGACCCGAAGAAGCCTGTCTCCAAGCCTCGAATCGACTGCATTGATGGATGCCGCTTCGCCCTCATCCTGCCCATCATCATCGGTCACTTCATTCGTTTCGGTACCTCCAACAAGTGGCTGCTGAAACTCCTGACCCAGGACTTTTCTTGATCGTGGGTGCGCTTCTCGGCTCTGCTGTTCGTCCCTGACCCCGAGGAGAACGTTCTCGTGGGTGGCTTCTTCAGCATCTCCGGCTATGTGATGGCCTACGTGGCTACGAACATGGGCGAGCGAAGCCACAACGTGCAGAAGCTGAAGAAGCCAGAGCTTTTCTTTTGGCAGAAGGCCCCCGGGTTGAATGCTGGCGGAACGCTGCAGCTCTTGGCATCATTCACACCTGTGCATCTCTTTGCAAGGTGATGAGCTACTATCCGCTGCATTTCTTAGTGTCGTCCGCCTTTGCGCCCATGTTCATCTTGATCGACAGGCCTGTGCTGGCATTTGTGCCTGCCTTGTGCAAGTTTCTGCAAATCAGTAACCACAGCAGCAGGAGGTTGCGTTTGTCGTCGCCGCAAAAGTCGGGGCGCACGAGCGTGGGGACAGCGCACCCCTCTCCTCTATAGAAGAGAAGAGAGCAGAGAGCAGAGAGAGAGAGAGAGCCCTGGCGAAAGAAAGAGAGAGAGAGAGAGACAAGGGGGTGGAATTCGTTGCTGCAACGTTGAGTCTGTTCTGAGTGCGGTTGACTGTGATGCCCTCGTTATCCTCCTCGGCAACAAGCAGTCTACCCTTGCGCTTTGGCCCTGACCCTGCCCCTGTTCAGCCTTTCACATGGGGGTGCAACCATTTCTTCAAGGCCAAAACGAATCCGCTTTTGCTCGATAAGGAAGTCGCAGGCAGCAGGGGCTCTCCCCCTTTAGGCGTCACTGGAGTTCTTGCCTTTTCTGCGAGTTTGGTATTCGGTCCGTCTGCCTGTTTTCCCTCGATTGAGCCGTCAGCGATTTCTGCCAAAACAGGCGAAATTTGCCTTGTGGAGAACCGTTTTCACAGAAGGCCCACCGCACATGTCGGGGGCGCCTGATGGCGCGCAGGCAAGGGGGGGCTTCCCCCTTGCTCATAGCCCTGCCGAAAGAAAGACAGGGGGCGGGGATTTCCCCCTGCCCCTAGCCCTGGCGGGTCGGGGGAGAGGGAGAGAGAGAGAGAGAGAGAGTCGCAGTCGACCGCCCCTTGTATAGCCGAGCCGATGGGGGAAACCCTTCATTGGAGTTGCTAAAAACTGCCGCGTCCGCGCACGATGGGGTAGGTGTCCGCCTGACTCCTCTGTCCTGGTAGAGAGAGAGAGAGAGAGAGAGAGAGAGAGAGAGAGAGAGGGCCGTAGCGCGAGAGTGCAGGGATTGTGAGGGTAACCTCACGTCCCAAACGGCGTGCAAGCAAGCAAGCAAGAGAGAGAGAGACAGAGAAAGAGACAGCGAACGGTTTTGAAACGCCTTGCAGCACGAGAGACTGAGAGAAGGACTGCAGGACGAAATTGTCGGCGTAACATCCATGCTTCACAGTGCCACCTGCCAGATTCTCTGAAGTCTTCGCACGCAATTTAGATGTTTCCCAACTGAAGACTCTAAAGGTGGATGAAGAACTCCTGGAAGACGACGTCGCTGCACGCCTTCTTCAACTACTTCTTGTTGCAGGACCGGTCCCCGACCTCCCAACCGTCCAGACCAACGAGAAGGCAGAAGCGCCTAAAACCCCAAAAGCCTCGTTCGCTGCGAGGCCTGGTTTCCCTCTGCGGCTGAGATCTGGAACCCACCGACCTGGCCGCTGGACCAAAGATGACCAAAGATTGCGGCTCTTTGGGGTTTTGAAAGATTGAGGCTGCTCAGATTGGGATTCTTGGTGGGTGTGAGAACGGAGAGAACCGAGCTCCGTGAAGTCAGCTTTGTGCTGGAAGGTCCGTTGTGCTTTGCAGGTCTCTTCAAGGTAGTCGGTGGATAGGAGTTCCTGCCACCTAAAAGGAGCTCCGTGTGCTCGCAGCTGAACTGATATTGAGCATGGAACTAGGCTCGCATCCACCGTTGATAGGGCTTTCCGTGCGAACCCAGTGCCACAGGAAGGTCTGAAAGTCCATCCGACTTAGTTTGCCGCGTCTGTGACCTCGTTACGAGAAAGGTTCCTCTCGGCATTGACGTTTGCGAACCTTACGATGCCGACCTTTGTCCTTCCGCAGGCCTGCAGCCTTCGAGCATTTGTAGCCCGTGGCGCGTTTCGGATCTCGGCCGTGGGATTCTTCCGCTAATGCTGTGCGCACCTGCCCGAAGGATGGATCCACAACCCTGAGCATCTCTCCGTTCCTGCCAACTCAGTGCCGCAGCCCACCCTAAGTCCTAAATCTTATGCAAACCCTAAATGCCCGAAACCCCCGAAAACCCGAAAACCCCCAAGACACGGATTCCCACTAGAACTCTTCTACGAACCCAGCAGTTCAGGCCCCAATCCGTCCTGAACTGCTGGGGCATCCTGAAGCCCTCAGTGTCAGGTGTCCCGGCTGAGCAAGGATGGCCTCAGCCGCTCGGAGAGTCTGGGGATGTCGGGAAAGGGCACTCTTTGATACGGCTTCAGACGAATTCTGTCGAGTTTCTTCCATGTCGGCTTTCGGGCTTTGGTGCTTCGGGTTTAGGGCTCGGGGTCTACGAGTTTTCGTGTTTCGGTCAGGGGATGAGGACTTGAGGGTGTCGGGTTCGGGGTGAACGGCTTAGGAGGATGCGGGTTATGGGACTTATAGGGGCTTTGGTGGGCAAGGGTTAAAGGTCCAGGGTTTTGAGTTTAGGCGTTTAGGAACTAAGACTTGATCCTAGTCAAAACACCGCGATACTGGTATTGGCAGCACCGGTGCGCGTTGTCCCACACCTGTATTGGTAGACTGTCAACGCGCGTGAGACTCCAAAGTGTTTGCAAAGTTCTGGCAATACAAACGCTGCAGTGGTGCCAGCTTGTCTAGCTTCATCAGCGTTGGTGCTTGTAGCGTACTAGAGCTGCTATCGATGCGACATCGAGACAGATGATTCCACCACATCCGTCAGAAAGGCAACACTGTGAGTGCAGGCAAGACTTCTGGACCAGAATCCTGTGAGCCCGGTGAACGGCGGGGTTGGACCTGCAAAGCAGCTTCCATGCTGTGATGTTTGTTGGGGGATATTGCTGGGCTCGTAGCCAGACGTGGTCTTTTCCGCGCGAGCTGAGGCAAGTTGTACGCTGGGCTCTGTGCCGTGTCGCTGCTCCAGAAGCTCTCCTACTCTCAGGCTGGCGCTGCCCGTCGGGGGGGGGGAAGAGAGGGCTCTTGATCTTGCGAGGCTTGGAAGTTCTACTGCTGCGGAGGCTACAAGGAGAAGCCGACGCATCCGTATCTTTGGAACGTGACCCGCTTCCACCCCTTCTCGGCTCTGGTGGAGATCACCGAGACATGGCCTTGAGCGCAGTAGGACGCTTGCCTGTCGCGCTGACGTGAGCTGTAAGTGGGAACATGATTTACCCGAGCAGCGGAACAGAAGCTGAGGAAGGTGTTGTGGCCGCGCGAAATGTCGGACCCCCAGCCTTCGGGTCGTGTCATGTCGCAACTGCAAGTCGCTGAGAGCAGCTCGAGTTCCGAATGTCGCCATGCGGTGGTTTTGGCTTGCAACCCTCTGTCTCTGTGCCGCCTTTCACCAGTGGCCCAAGCTGCCCGTGAAGGTAGCGCGGTGCCCTGAGAAAGTTGAAGAGCCATGGCAATGTCCGGCCTAGGGAGGTGGTTGCTACTGCTTGTGAGCATCGTAAGTGGGCTTGACACAGAGATCGTGGCCGTCACCGAGATGGCGAACTTGCACCTGGAGTATGGTACAATCAACCAGACAGCTTTTGAGCTGGCTCAGCTTAAGGTGGGCAAAAAAAAGTGTCTCAGGATCAATCATTCCTGCTGGATTGATGCCCAGTGCTGCTCGGCCCGTTGCCAGTCCCCCCTCCGGAAGTGTCGCCCAGTCCGCTGATCGAGTTCTGAGGGAGGCCGGCCCGGGAAGCAGCCCGAAACTGCCAGAAGCCACTTGGGGTCATAGAGACAGCATGGTCTCCGGATCAGCAATGAGCCTGTCCGGGGCACCGAAAAGGATTCCTGCCTTTGGCAGATCCCCACACGCTTTTGGGAGCTCCAGAGCCGGCGAGCCCAGGAAAAGCCGCTTGTTTGAGCCTGCAGGGTTGAGTATGGACCAGCCTGCAGCCTACTCATGCAGACTCATGAGGTAATCTATAGCTCAAACTGTATCGTTTCGGAGCAGCAGTGTACTGTGAGTGTATTCACGATGTGATCTTTTCCAGAGAGTATTCTCGCATCAACTGAAGCCTGAGGTAGATTTTGGCAGCCTTAGGGTTTCAGAGCCGCTGGAAGAGCACAGCCGCCAGGAAAGCTAGCATCTTTCTGCCTCCACAAAGGGGGTCCCGGTGCGCCCTGCCCTGTAACACCTCCTAAGCTCAGGTCATGCTCGATGAGGAGAGGAGGCCGCAGAATCCCCTCTGGCTCTTCCTCGCAAGCTACGCCACCTTGGGACTCAGGTCGGTGCCGGGTTCTTTTTTTTGCCTTTTTTTGGGATTTCTTGGGACGCCTCGTGGGAAAGGCTGACTTCGCTGAACCTCAACGATGCCATGATCCGGTCTCTGCTGTTCATGCCGCTCTACACCAAGTTCATCATGACTATGCACAGGCCCTCCGGTGCGTGCTTCAACTGCCTGGGGTCCCAGGGTCACAGAGACGTTATGGGCAAAAGCTGGTACTTGCCCTGGCAGTGCATGTCGAGAACCAGCACCCAAAAACTCTCTGCCAGGGACTGTGTGAGCGGGCAGCCCCATGCCCTCACGCGCTTCTTCGGCTCCAGGCCTGGTGGGGGGCGGGGGTCTTGGAAAAATATCCACGGATGTCAAGCGGTGCGGCGAGCGCCCCTGCTTGGATTCAAGATCTCAAATCCAACAGCCCCCGCCTCGAAAGCCTGACAGAAACAAAGAATCGACACCCCCAGCCCTAAAACCTGAAGGCCCTAAACCCTGGCTCTAGAATTTCTTTCACAAACAATTTAGGACCCTAAACAGTAAATCTTGACACCCTCAAGCGCCGCCCCTAAGCTAAAAGCGCCCGAAAGCGCCAGCACAATGTCCTGGCTCGGCTCGCTCGCCTTCCCCATGTTCATCGTGCATGGTCCCCTTGGACAACTGCGCCTGGCCTTGGGATGCACGGGTATTTGATTCCAATGGGGTGGGATACTATGGGGCTTTAGTTGACGTAGGGTTTTAGAGCGGTTAGGGCCTTAGAGTTCGATTTCTTGAAGGTTCGCATTTTGGGTTTGTGCGAGATTGTGTCTCCTCAATCGTGTTTGCTGCAGCTGGGACGAGGGGCTGTCAAGACAGACGGGCAGCTGCTGCCAAGGTTCTACAAAAAGACGGTGGCGACAAAGCTGTGGGGTCGTGTGATGCCGAAGCCTTTCTTTCCGATCTACTTGATGATTGTCATGGCGGTTGCCCATCTGCTGAACGAGGGCTTTGTGAAGAACAAGGCCTGAGTGCCAAGCCTAAGCACTTCTTAAGCACGAAAAACAAGTAACCATAGGAAAACTGACAAGATCATATATATTGTTGCAACAGTTCAATCGCGACAAAGAGACAGGATAGGTATGGGATGTATAGTACCAGATCAATAGAGCAAACAGTAGGAAGCCAATACACATGGTAAAGAATCATAACCCTGAAAACAAGCGAACATGCGAGAAGCTGATGGTGATGAAGTACCGTGGCAGTACAGCACAGTGTACTCGAGTGATTAGGGTGACACGGTACACCAGTATGCGCAAATACGTCTCGAATCTCCAAGCCGTGTTGAGAAGACAGCCAGCTACTATAGTAGTGTGCCCAGTTAGGTTGGCTGACTCAACTGAATAATCAGCATGTGGCACTCCCTAAAGTCCTAGAACTGTCAACCCTAAAATGAGATGCTTGGCCCCGAAACTCCACAAAGTCCTTAAACTCTGGCAAATGATAGACAGTATGTATCGTCTTGTTACAGTATCAAGAGACAGAAGTACAACAGTATCACAGTGCGAATGTATCACAGTGTGCGAATGTATCACAGTGTGCGAATGAAGATGTGATCTATGAGCATAACGCTTGAGCATACGGTTACATCTTCGTATAAGATCGAGAAAGGCATAAAAGTAATGACCACAGTGTTGTATAGCAACCGTGATCCTGTTTTGTTGGTTCAACAGAAGCAAACCGCATCAGCGTACGAAGCCGGAGCCTTACAGAGCAGGCCGTGCAGCGCCTCAGCGCCCGCCTGGCAGAATTCCTTGCAGAACGAACGAATGGCATGCTCCAGGCTGGGATTTGAGGTCAGCGGTTCAGGATTTAGGATGTTTAGGGTGTGGTGCTTCAGGGCCGTGAGGTGTGTGAAGGACCGCAGTGCGTTCTGTCTCCCCGTTAGGATGTTAATCGGCGCTCTGCCAGCCGGTCCAACTTGAAGGGCGCATGAGCTGAGATGAGCCGATAGCCGCAGTAGCCATAGATAGCATGTACAGGATCGAAGTCGCTGCGCTTGCAAACTTGTGGCCAAGAAGCTTGACTTGGCACCGCACATGTAGGCTCAGTGCCCTTGGCATGGCTGTGGGCGAGCCCGCCTCAAGCATGAAATACTTCAACCCATGTTGGCCGATTGAAGTGTCGTGAATCTTTTCAACTTCAGCACACGCTGGCAACCAGCAGCGTGGGTTTGTGCAGATGCTGAAGTGAGAATTCGTCTGTTCCTCGTAGTGTCATGACATGAGCCTTTCATGACACGTTTGGTCTTAGCACAGAAACTTATTTTTGAGCTCTGCGTGGCGTGTGGTGGACAGCGCTACGATGTGCTGCCATGCTCCTCCCAGCAGGACTCGGTGCAAAGGTGGTGAGTTTAAACGCCACGGAGCCGCTTCGGAGGCCCGATATCCGTATCCTGTCCCGTGCCAGGCTATGGAGTAGGTCCAAAAGACCTGCGATCCGACCGTCTCCAGACACATACACGATCTCGTGATTGTGCTCAAAAAAGAAGCGTGACAGCGGCAGCACGGTACAGCGAAGTGCAACACAACACTGCTCCGGCCCTCGCATTCCTGCACAGAACCGGCTCTTATATTATCGACGATGAACTGTTATCCTGCTTCTGAGCCCTCGAGCGCAGCTTGAAATGCCTCCGGGATCCTTGCCTCCACCCTGTGAGCCTTGAAGCCTCCTTGAACTTCTGATGGGTCGAGGCCGTGAAGGCCGGGGCATGGTGCAATGGGGCGGCAAGGAGCGATCCGGTTTAGCTCAGGGTTGCAAGGGCTTGTCGGTGCAGGCTTCGGGCCTGAACATGGCGATCGCTGCTGCAGAACTTCGCAGTCTGTTTCGGGGAGTTTTTGGTGCAGCTTCCTAGAAGCCTTGAAAGGGCTGTTCGAAATCTTCTAAAGAACCCAAGCCTTCATAAAGCAGCCTTTGCAGAGAGTCTTTGACCTTCCCGAAGCTTTGAACAAGGACTCACCTCACGCGGAAGAGCTCGCACTTCTCCAGGCGAGACCAGCGTCTAAGTGGCATCGTTCCCGCTTGAGCAGCTGGTGTGATGTGCTGCTTCTCTCTAGTGCATTGCTGCTTGCAGCAGTCAGCAGGGCCAGAGTGGAGACGGGTACTTTAATTATGGGTCGGGGTATGTCGGGGTCGGCAAGCCGCCACGGAAGGAAGTCCTCAGTTCTCGGCAGCCCGCAGCCTCAGCTTTTTTTCTGCCGCCAAACTGAGCACATGTCTGAGTGAAAGAAGGGCACGTGTGGCGAGATCGCGGAAGCCTTGACCTGGCCGCTTCTCTCACAGCCGTTGCGGCTTAGTCACTTTAACACCGCAGGGAACGGCTCAACAAAAGTCGGTGAAACAAAGACAATCAAAAGAACTGGTAACTTTGCCGGAAGTGCAGGCTTGGAATTGGCGCACCAACTCTGCGTTTTCGGCGAACACAGCACAGAAGACCGGAAACCCGACCCCGCTCAGCCCCTTGAATAGCCTTGAATACGCGAACCTGACACTCTTACTGCGTAGCTCCGTGCGAACGCTCGACCTCCCGGAAACCCCTCTGGCGCCATGGCGCTGAAGCGCAATTCGTCGATGGCGCTCTGCGCCGTCGAGCCGGCAAAGCGCTCGAAACCCACTGCCAACGTGCTGCAGCTGCCTGGGCAGCACTTCGGGGTTTCGTGGCTTCGTCTCTCCTCCATTGCATATGTTTGCCCCAGCTTTTCCGCTTCAAGTCGGCTCTTGCTCCTTGCATTGAAATCCTGGTCTTAGTGGAGATGTTTGCCTGTGGATTTTTGCCACTTGTGGCGATCATTGTGCATGTACTTGTTCTCCAGGCCTGTATTTTCAGATTTGATCATGATAGTTATTGCGTGTCTGTAGGGTGCATGCGTGTCATATCATGCGGTCGCAGAGGCAGCCTGAGCCTTGCAAATTCCCAGCTTGTTCCCTCTCGATGTAGCTGTTGTAATGCTATAGTATAAATGTACCCCCCAAAACCATGACAGTGCCTGCATAATACGCCCTAAAACCCTATTCCCATTACTAAGTACTACTACCACACCGCCACTGCCACTGCAGACTCTTCGATCGACTCGAGGCCTTGGGAGCCCCTGAACCTTTATCTGAGCCCTCGGATACCCAGCGACCGCGCGGCCCTGCTGGCCGAGCGCCTAAGCGCCGATCCCAAGGCCGGACTGTGCGGTGCGTGAGATCCCTCTTGGGCGTCTCTTTGGCCCCCTTTTTCTCTCTCTCTCTCCCTAGCTGCTTGAGGTATGCTTTTCCGAATTCAGATCGGGCTTCAGGTTGCGATAGATCCTTGCACTCTCTTCATGTAACCCCACTAGAGCCCGCGAGCTCGAGAGCTCGCACCCGAAGCCCCGAGCCTGCGCGCAGCTCCGCATCGTGGACTCGGAGGCTGCCGGGGGGAGCCGGGAGCTGACACGCTTTTCTCGCGCCTTCTCGTAGAAAGAACAGACAGAGAGTTGATCTGCACTCCAACAGAGAACGCTGGAGTAGCTGTGTTTGGGCATGATGCATGTTTGTCGGTATGGTCCGCGATCGCTCGCGCGATGCACTGCAAGTGTGTTGCTTTTCGGGGTCTGGCATTAGGGTTTCGTCAGAGATGAAATCTTCAACGTGCCGGAGCAGGCTTGAACTCGGGATGTCGCTTCTGCATGCTTCTGCGCATAGCAGCGCAGGACGGTGCTCTTCTTGTGCTTCCAAGCTTCGAGTTCGAGGTGCCTTTCTGGATGCGAGTTGCCGCTGCTGTTGGCTGTAAATTACTGAGATGCCGCGGCAGGAACTTTCTGCACTCCAGAAGCGTGGCAAGCGGGTCGTTGGCCTGCCTTTGGCGCGGGTCTCGAATGTCTTTAACAGAGCTGTTCTTCACATGCGGAGATGTTGTGAAGGTGGAGCGGTTCTTAAAGGACCGGAGCTTGATGGAGAAGGCCTGGATTTGCAACGCAAAGTCCTGCTCGAATGACAGAAGCCATCCCCTACGGTAGGTCATGGAGCTGCCTCTCTTCGACCTACTCTACCGCTCTGAGAAGGGGCTTTGCTTTTCAGCTACTTGAGCCTCAATAGCCTGCCGTGTTCCGGCGGAGCCTCGTCATCTCATGACCTGCTTGTTACGGCAGTGCCTTTTTGCCAGCCTAGGCAGTGTGAGTCTACCTGTTTGCAGTCGCCTCAAAAAGGAAGTTCTCGAAAGCTACTTTCATTAGTGTGTCTTTGGTTGGAGTAATGCCTGTATTGCTTGTATGTGGATTCATCTCGTTACGCGTCGTTCTTGTCAATGTAATGAAGGTAGACCTGTTGTCACACTACGACTGTGGCGATTCTTCGTATCTTGAGTAGGTGTGATGTGATGCATAAGTAGAGAGAGAAACATAATCAGCCCAACCAGTACTCAAGCATTGTTCTGCTGTCATTGACTTTTGCCGTTGGCAGCATTGTCGTGACCGTCATTGCTTCGAACTTTGCTGGCATCATCTCTGCGAACTTCTGTCCCCAGGCCATGGCTCCCGAGGATCGATCTCGCCACCAGGCCCCCAGAAACCACGCAGGGCTTGAGAGTTCTTTTGGTTCCGCTGGGACAGAGGCAGACCCCGCACACCCAGTGTGTGATGGATACAGACCCAGCAAGCAGAGTGCACGCAGCACATGCAGTTCGACAAGTTTGTGTGGGTGTCGACAAAGGTACCCAAGGCAAGAGAGATAGGGAGCTCATTGTGCAGATAGCTGTCCTCAAGTACTGAGAGGAACAGGAGAGGGAAGCTGCCAAGTCGCGCAACTTTCCGATCCGCCACCCTTGCAGTCCTAAATCCTAAATCCTGAACCCAAAGCCCTGCCAGGCCTTCGCCACCTGGGTCGGCGCCCGGGTGACCGACGACATCGGACCCGACACGGAGCTCTTGGTTGCGCGGAAGGCACTCCCAGAGATTAGCGCTTACTGAGGGGCTTGGGGTTCTAGGGTTGATTGGGTTTCAGCTGGCAAAGGGCTTTGGACAAGGATGCATGAATTGCTTTCAAGATGTTGAGGTCGTAGATCGGAACCCTTTACAGGCATCGAAGAACTCGCTGCTTGGCCACGAAGTCTGAATCGACCACACCGACAACCCAACGCCACTGCGTTTTTGTTCTCCGTCCTCACGCCTTCACTTGCGGCCTTGGGCACAGCCGCCAGGTGAGCCTGCGGCCGGACTCCAAGTACCAGGCAGCGCTGGCCTTGCGACTGCCCATCGTGAGGCGGGCTTCGAGCACTTGCAGGGTGATGAGGATCATGTATTGGGGTGTTGGGGTGCCTTCGGGAGTTCGGGCCTTCGATCTTGGTTTGATTGGAGTATGGTTCTGGATTGGTGAAGACGATCGGCCTTTTCTGCGCCGCCAGGCCGAGCTATGTCAAGGCCTTGTGGGACGAGCAGCAACTGGTGGACAAAGAGCGGCCGTGATCACATTCATAATCCAGTCTCTGACTTCTCTCCTTTGCTCGTTTTGGAGCTGTTCGGGCTGCTTCGACACAGTTGGGAAACTAAGAAGTTGGCAAGATGAAATTTAGTCTCCAGGTAGAGTGCCGTCGGCGGGTTCGGAGTCCACCTGCTCCATCGGAACTGGCTCGAGGCCGCACTTCCTGCCGCCCTTGGCCGGATTGGCCATCAACTTTGGGCCCATTCAGGCTCGGGAAGGGCAGCTCAGGATGATGTCACCAGCACCATCGCCACCAGCGCCACAGGCACTACCACCATCCCCAACACAATTCTGCTCTTCTTCTTCTTCCTCCTCCTCCTCCTCCTCATAGTCATCATCACCATCTTCTTTTGTAATTTTCTTCGTCAGTCATCACTGTAAGCATGATGAGGCAAGAGTTGCTATGGCGATCGATCGATAGCCCAAGTAATGCACTGCACCTTTAACTTTGCTCACGACTTTTCAACATGCTCCGAACGTGTCCAAAACTTCCGTGACCCCAGACAGGACCAGGTTTCGCCGGAGCTGCGGAAGCGGGCCGAAGCCTCCGGTGTGGCTCGGAATCTCAAGGATTCTTTCCACTCAGTTCGTTCATTGAAAAGGGCTCTTTTGCTTCGTCTTGGACATGGCTAGACAAGCTCGGGAAGCATTCCGAACCCATCAGTCCAAGACTTTTGCCCCGTCTACAAGTATGCCGTATGCCTGTTGAGGGCCGTTGAGGTGTTTCCAAGCTACAGGCCGGTGATGTTACTTGGCAATAGATAATATGGCTCTGGCAGAACGGGCTCGGAATCGGATTGCAGGGAACCTAGTGACACGGAGGCTGGGGTGTGGTCGAACTATGAGCTGCAACCCAGGCTGTCATCACGACCTTAGACAAAGCGGAGGTAGTCATCGTGACGGATGCCTCCAAGCCAATTTACCAGGCCCCGCAGAATCTAGAGTTGGGGCAAGATTGAGGGCGCCGTGGTAACCGGGATCGTGAAGAGAAGTGTGACACCAGAGTGCCTTGGAAATTCTCTATCCTGTGCCTCTGCGCTTCTGATCCCATTGCCTCCAATCTGAACCCCCAGTCTTTACAGTAGCCTATACTATACTATACTATACTATACTATACTATACTATACTATACTATAATGTACTATAATAATATACGAAAATATACCATAATATACTAAAATATTCTAGTCCCAGTGCCCCTTGTCCTCAGCTTTCCGAGGAGGGCCGGCGCCTGGGCCTCCTCTGCGCGCCCCCGCTCTGGCTCGAGCGCTGTCTGCAGATCCGCTGCTGCCTGACCATCGCCGGGGAGCTGGAGGCGCCTTTTTGTTTTTTTGGTGGGGAGTTCGGTGTGGGGGGGGGTTTGGTTCCAGAATATTTTTTTGGGATTTTCTGATGCGCAAGACGTTTTCGACCCAAAAAGGGCCGTGCGAGAGTCCTTGTCTCCATTTCTCAAGGCCGTGCGTACCTTGAATCGTCAAGATTTCTCCGCTTTGTCGGAGGAGCATCAGAGAGAGACATCCCTAGGACGATGCTTGACCAGGGAATGTTAGACAGCCAGTCTGAAGCGTCGAAACGAGTCAGTCATTGAAGGGTCCATGTTATGTTTGGTTGATGGTGCATTTGCCGTGCCATAAAATTCTTCGAGGCTTGGCAGCTCCGATTCGTAGAAGCGAGCGGCTTATTGGGCCTGTTACATGATGTCACCAGAACGGGCACCTGGCTACACCTTAAACTCTACGGCTCACCAATTCCTCTGAGAAGTCCTCATGTACCCTACCCTTTCCTTGGACACCCCCGGGTGCCGATCATGGCGCGGAAGCGAGGCTTGCAGGAGGCGCTCTCCTGCTTTTCGCCGTTGGCTGGGCCTCCAGATTTGCAGCACCACACTGTGAAGCTCCACATCTACGACCTTCCCGGACTAGCTCCAATCTTGAACACCTGTCTCAAGGGCATTCTGGGCATCTATCGCACAGGAGTGCAGGTGCATGGTCGCGAGTGGAGCTTTTCCAGCAACGGGATTGTCGAATGCTGCCCCGGAGGCTGTGCATACCCTTTACACAGGGAGTCTGTGAACTTGGGGACCACCTCGTTGTCGGAAGATGAGGTGAAGATGCTCTTGCATCGTTTCGATTCAGCATGGGTGGCATCAGAGTACCACTGCATCCGCCGCAACTGCAGCGACTTCTCTGAGGCCTTGTGTGTGGCTCTCGGTGTTGCCCGGCCTCCTCGGACTTTTTCGTGCTCATGCTATCCAGGGAAGGAGGCGGCACGACATGCAGACCTGAAGCGTGCCATGGCAGAACGCAAATTCGTTGAAGGCCGGCGAGTGGCTGGAGCAATGCGTCAGGAGAATTCCAGCCCAGTGAGCACCAGGTTGCCATCGCTGCTTAGCAGTCCGCAGTCGGGGGAATCCACCACTGTCCTTGACCTACACAAAGGAGGCCCGCCGCCACCAAGCAGCTTGCAGGTTGCCACACGGGTGCTGCTGCCGCTGGGCTGCTTGCAGCGGACGCAAGATCACGATTGTGATCAGGCTGGGGCAGAGGAGCTGGGAGATGTGACGAGGCTGCAAAGCCACTCAAACGCACCTAGGAAGATTTCAGCACCATCCATTGACAGCAACTGCAGTTACAGCTCCGAATCAGATCCCGCAGCGCAGCTGAAAGAGGGCAAGCGACGAGGTCGGTCCCCAATTGTGCGGCTGTGTCGCAACAGCGACTGGGAAGTGGTACGGGCTGCGGCGCGAAAGCGCGCGCAGATGAAAGCTGCTTGTGCATTCTTCCGCAACAAGAAGAAGGAGGACATGCCCTGGCCAGGCAGCCAGGACATGCGCTGGATGGACGCCTGTGGCTCTTCCATGTGATGAGAGGGGGGCCAACCGCGTGCTCAGCAAAGTCAGTAACAGCCCAACACGACGTGACGTGTGATACCCCACGCCCTCTTGCATACCTTGAGGGTGTTGTTTGTTCTCGACTGCGGGTCACACACGCAACCTAGTGTTGTTGCAGGTGAGACCTTGAGACCTCATCTGGCAAGTCTGGGTTGTACAAGTTTTGGCATATCCTCAGCTTCCAGATTCCAGAAGCTGTATCTCCGACAACTCAAGGTCTTGCCTCAAGTATTCTCAAGTCAGTGTTTGCCTGCAGCAGCTGATGGATAAAGGCTATGTGCACTGCAGCTCTTGTTACCTGAGCTGGATCGGATCTGAATTGAATGCAGACTCTGTACTCTGCTCTTGTTTCCTCAGCTTTCAGCTACGGTCACTGTTCAGCAATGTGGTTCATGATTGTTGTTTTTTGCTGCCGCTGCTACCTATTCTCCACGATGCTGTACCGTATTTTGTTTGCTTCTCGATTTCTGTCTGCGCCAGGTACCCCAGGCAGGCGTCCCCTTGGGCGGCAGCGTCGAGGCCGCGTGAGAGTTTCAGCTCGCGCTTCTTCTTGAGTTTAGTCGGGAGCAACGGATCAGGACTGTTCTCTGATGAACTACGGAAGCCGACGATTTTGCAGCATGTTTGGGTCTCATATGGACAGGAGGAGTCACAACTACAGCCAATGCCATCCTTCCTTACTCTGCGCAGATAGACATGTCTTCCGTGTTACAAGCAGACGGCATGTTGCAAATGTTTGCGCACGCATGGACAAACCCATCCTCTGTACAGGGGTATATTGTTAGATTGTATGTGTATATGTTTGCGATCAGGTTGGGTTTAAAGTAAAGCATGTTGCAATGTATCTTCATGTTATCATGAACTGACACGTGCTCACGTGTAATAATTTCTACCAATGCACAGGCACAAACACACACACACACACACACACACATGCGCGCGCACACACAATGCACAAAGAGCAATCGCATGGAAAACTGTTACGTGCACTCGCAGCCCTCCGTTTGACTCCGCTAGCTTCTGTTGGTTAGGCGCCAAGTTGTCTTCACGACAGCTACGTTGCTGCTAATTGCAAACGTTGTATGCCTTGTATGTTTGCTATGGTGCTAGAGTCCTGTTTTTTTGCAGGCAGAAGTCTCGACCATCTTGCACGGTTGTGTGCTATGTTTGGTGCGACTTGGCAGCGACCCGCCTTGCCGGAATCGACAATCTCACGAGCCTGCAGTTCCTTCGGTTTTTGTCGGCCCAATCGGGCTATAGGCTGCGATGATCGGGCCCACTTCTAACGACAAACGGAAGTCTGCAAATTGCAGCTGTTTAGCGGTTCCTTCTTCCGGCTGCCGCCAGACGTCGCTGTCAGCTCAGGTATCTGCCCCCAGGCCGGTACTGGGATGTGAGTACGTCGTGTCTGACTTGCAATAGGATGAAAAGGAGTCGTTGCAGACAGGGGTTCAATAAAGACCAGTGGTACCACACGGGTATGCTTGGGGCTCCGGTTCGTTGATCCTCAGCCAGCTGGCCAACTAACAAGTATCAAGTCATCAAGTGTCAGCTACGAAACGGTGCGCCATTGAGGGTGTTCCTGTGACCTGACGTTTGCACTCGGAACCTGCACTTGCTAGTACATCTTGTTTTTTTCGTTTTCTCGTGTCTGAATGAAACTCCCGGTTCGATTCAAGATTGGAAGCTTCTGGCCCAACAGACAGCAACAAGTCTGACTGAAGAGTCTTCGAGCCGTTGGATCCTTGCTACTCCGGCAGGGAAGGAGCGTGATGATGCAGCCGAAAGTGCCTGGCGCTGTGGGGCCTGGACAGCGTCTAAGTTGGATATCAAAGTTAAGAACTGGCAAGGCTTCGAGCCATGCAGGGTTCGGGCCAGAGCTGGACCGCAGATCGGGCCATGCAAACAGGTTTCAGTTCTGAGCGATAAGCCGGGCGGGCCCGCGTTGGGTTTCCGGGCCGCTGCAGGACCACCTTGGAAGCCAAGGATCCGGCCATCACCCATGCCTCCTGGCGCTTTAGGGCAACCGGGCGGTTTGTGCTATCTCTGCACATGTTCCCAAAGCATGCAGACGCTTCTGCAATGTGTTGTGTGAGAGATGGTGAGCACTTAGTGGATCGTAAGCTTGAACGTCCATAATACCTCCCACGCCAGGTTCTATTCGATGTCGTCCCTCGCGTCCTGGTCCATGTGTCGATGCCGGTCGATGAGGTCGGGCACATGCAGCCTCCAGTTACAGAGATGCGAAGTCCACGGAATCCTGGAGCACTGACAGTCCTTGCAGCAGTGACACTTCACGCCTCAGCTCCCTTCAGGCGTTAGGAGTGGAGTTTGTGGACGTCCGCTGGCTCGACGCATGCGTGGCCAACGGGAAGCGAGCTGATGAGAACCATTTCGCAAGGCCGTGGTTCCCAGCTGGGGTTGTGCTCCCTGCGCAGAGTTTCCTCGCGAGCGCCCCAGGCCACGGGTGGCCTACAACCCGACCTGCGACATCGCGTACCCTGCTGCGCTCCAGTCGGACTTGTCCTCCGGCAGGAAGGCCTCGCCTTGGTTCACACAGCTGAGACGATCCTGCCCTTTCTCCATGCCAGGTACGGAGAGTGGAGAGCAGCGCTGCCCTCGAGGAAGTTACCACGAAGAGCTCCCAACTGGTCGAGGCATGCTTGGTAATGGACTTGAGCAGTCAAGGCTCCAGGGGTTCAGACCTTTTCGTTCAAGGAGCTTGTTTGGGCGGCTGACCTTTGTCTCGGTGTGCATGGGTTTCGCACTCGTTGAGTTGCGCACCAGTTCACACCTCAATGTGCTCCTAGCTGCATCGCACTGGTCGCTTGATGTCTGCAAAGTACTGCTGTGAATCTGCCAGAATGATCACAATCGCGCAGGTTCCCGGACCGTTCAATGATGTTGCTCGGTCGCTGGTGAAAGGACAACGACGCCTCAAAAATGCACACCCTGCTGGTAGGAGCCCTGCAACCCCTGCACGCAAGACCCACAGCTTACGAGGCAAAGCCACAGTCCAGCAATGTCTCAAACTTACATCTTCCACCTTAAGGCCCCAAGCCCTCAACCCTTCAGGCCCTAAAGGGCCTTCAGGCCCTTAAGGCCCCTTCAATCTAACATCTCTTGTCCCGAAGCCTCGGGCCAGGCGGCCTCCGCGAAGCCGGAGCTCAGAGGGCAGCAGCCTCCGCTGCCGCTCGGACTCCCCCAAAGGGCAGGGAGAGGGAGGGGGGAAGCTGAGAGAGAGAGAGAGAGGGCTCAGGGAGAAAGGGAGCCATGCTTCCTTTATCTCGTACGAAGAACAGCAAGGCTGAAGATGACAGCTGCCAATACCGCAGGGAGCTGTAGTGACTGATAGTAGGAGCTGTGTGGCGAGCCCTGAGCCAGCAGGTCCGGACTCACCCTCCGCATCACGGCCTTGGACGACTCCAAGCAGAGCTGCCGGGAACGGCAGCGCCTTCAGGCAGGGCAAGATAAGCCAACCAGGGTACCCCAGTGCTTTGTGTACCAGTGCCATACCAGTGCTTCGAGGACTTGGTTCTTCGAGTTTTGTTGTCCGCGGCACGGGGCACGGAGACAGCATGTGGGGCTTGAGATTGATCGAGAGGTTCGGGTTCAAAACATCCCCACCTCGCCGTGAGGGATAGCACTTCAGGAGATGGCACACGGCCTGGGCGCCACTGTCGCGGACCAACGGAGCCGTCTCGGCGACATTACGCACTTCGTGTGTCACCCGGCTGCCTCTGCGGCTTCTCCCTGCTTCCAGTCGCCTGAGCTTTGCTGCCCTAAAGCCGAAACCTTCAAGACCAGCGTCGCAAGCACATTCCCCTAGAAAGGCCGCCCAATCAGGAGCTCCTTTGCGTGGTAGGGCAGGGCCGAAACTCGGCACTCGGGTCGCGTCCGCGACATCCTGCCTTTTGCGGGCCAGGGAGAGTGGGATGAAGAATCTTGTGCTTCGTGTTAAAGTTGTAGTGCTACTGGTTGGGTTTGGGCTTCAAAGCATAATTTGGTCAGCGCATATCTCTACAAGTGTTGGCTTGCTCTGGATATGGTTCCCTGGTTCTGGCAGCTATGACATTCCGTCTGACCGGCTGGGCTCCTGGGGAAAGTGAACGACCAAAAGCAGCAGAAAACAGGAGCGATTCCCGAACCCGAGAACCGGAATGGGTCGGGGCTGCTTTTGACGGTTCAAGGCTTCAGGCTTTGAAAACGCCTCCAGGGTTTGGGATGTGATTCAAGGTTAGCTTTGACGGGCTAGGGTGCGCAATGCCTACCTGTGGCCTGCAAGTGTAGTATGTAGGAAATGGATGATTCCAAGCCAAGAAGCACACTCGAAGTTGCGGTTCGAGTGAAGTTGGAAGAGAGTCGCAGTGACAATAGGCCCGAAGGTCTCAGGATCAGTGTGGGAGGTAGAGCAGCAAAGATGCCAGGAAACGGACGCACACACACACACACATACACATGCTACGCACACGCCAAAACCCTAAATCCCAATGTGCCGTGCCCAATTAGACATAGCCTTGCTTTCACCTCTTGGATTCGGGAGCTGCAGCCAAGCAGTGCAGCCGTGTAAAGCATGGTGCCTTCCAAGGTGTGGTTCCGGATCGCTTGGAAGCTGGCCTGGCAGAGAAAGCTCGGAAGCGGCAGATCCACATAGTTTCCAGACTTCACCAAGTAGTGTGGGGTTTGGCTATAAGTCTGATGCTCCCGGGTTGTGGTTCCTGTGAGTTTAAGGCTCCCACAGAGCATCGCTCATCTGTGAACATGGTGAATTCTGGGAGCTATTTTGTGAATTTCAGTGGAGCTTAGATCGTGTTCCATGGCTTTCAGGTGGCCGTGCACTGGTTGCTAGACTGCAATCGGCACGGCATCCGACAGCCAGAAGCGCGCTACAGCGTGAGCGCCTCGTCGCAAAGCCAGCTCTGGGGCTTTCCATCGCCCAAGCCTTGGTTTCTAAGGATTCTAAGGCTTGCAGTAATCCTTGTGACTAAGCCCTACAGGGTGCTTCCTTAAAGGATCCCTGCAAGGAACCCCCTTTTGGTGATGGCAATCTCCAAAAGCCGCCCTCCATGGAAGTCCCGGAAGCCCAGGAGACGCCGCGCCGTTGCCCACGCAAAGCGAGCCCTTGCTGGAAGATGCCGTTAGCAAGGCGAGCCCCTGCACCTTGGACTTCCTTTTAAAGAGGGCTGAGGTCTTAGGGGCTCGGGGGGTTCTGAGGGCTTTGGGTGCAGGGCGTGTGTGTAAGGATCAGGGAATACGTGTACTTTTCTGAAACTGCGGATCAGCGAGAAAGTAACCTCCGACAGTTTGTTGCCGGTAAAGACTGACGGCAAGGGGGGGGTGTTGAGGTCCTGAAGGTAATGTACAAAAGCAGGAAGGCTGCTTGGAGGCTTTGCCCAAACCCGAACCGGTTACGGAGCACTCCCAAAAAGCCGAAGGGACGCCGACGCAACCCCTGCCGAGCAGACCAGGTGTCGCCGCCACCGTCCTTGCCAAGTGTGACATCCTGGTGTCGCCCTGGGCCCTAGGCAGGGTCACGTGGTTTCCGCTCTTCTCAACAACTCGGCCCCTTGAGCTTTGAGACCCAGAAATGAAATGCCCGTTGACTTCAGCTTGCAGGTGTGGAGCCGAAGCTCACGCAGATGGCCAAGGCCCTTCCTAAGAGGGCTTCCGACGGCGTTTCACAGCCATCTCAACCCCAAGTTTTTTGATGTCCGGAAATGCCCGGAGGCCACAAGGCCCCTAGCCACCTCGGCCGAAAGCCCTGGACCTCGGATGTTCGTCAGGAGCTGGGGGCCACCTCGGTGCGTACCTGGAGAACGCCCGCAGAGCTGCGGTCCCTGCTCCAGGTTTCCTGGCATTTTCCTGTCTGAACATGTTGGTGAGCCCAGAAAGAACGGAGGGTCATCGACGCAGCCTACTCTGCAGTCTTGAGTGTGCCAGGGGTCTTCAATGCAAGGGCTTCTTGTCCCCCCCACCGAAGCGAAGATGCCTTTTACCGAAACCTCCAGACGACATGGGCTTCGGGTGCACGGCTCTGTGCGCCAGGCGTCCTCAGAAGGCCAAACCCGGGCGGTGGTAGTGGCCTCTTGGCTGCACCGGCTTTGCTGGGGGACTCGAGCTCTCTCTTGCAGAGCATCCACGGACGACACTATATTATACTACATTAAATTATATACTTTCTACTAGACTAGACTAGACTAGACAAGACCAGGCTTTACTATACTATGCAACATCATGCTGTAGAAGCTTCATATCCTCAAAGTGCTCAGGAGAAGGACGAGACCAGGCAAGGATCTCTGGAAGGATGCGTGGAGAAGTGGACGCCCGAGCTCCGCAGCATCTTTGTGCAGCCGAGTTGGCTCTCAGCCGCCTGGCAGCAAACGTATAACTACCATATAATGTAGGGTGGTAGGGTTTAGGGTTTAAGGGTGTTGCAAGGTACTCGTCGCAAGAAAAACATCACTCTCTTCACACCGCGGAGAGTGCAGGGCATCGGTTGGCGAAGTGGTGTTGCAAATCCGGAGCGTTTTTGCGGGGCAGGTCTGCTTCGGTTTTAAATCAAGAAGTATATCAGCAAATCTGGCCTTGGGTCTTCTCATAAGAACAAGGCCATTTGCTTCTGTCTGCATCGGAAGCCTCACACATGCGCTCACGAACGTTTGTCAGCTGCCACATCTGTATCCACTCGCCAAGAGAAAGGCTCTGCTTCACGTGTTCTTATCTGCTTCTTCACTTTGCATCTTGTACAGGCAAGACTACTTCCATGCGAAACGTCTTGCTATGTGGGGAGCGTTTTGCCATCCATTTTCGTGATCCTCTGCCTCCCCGTTGTACTCATGAACTCAACCCAAGCTGCCTCTGAACTGGGGAAATCTCGAGTCTTCGCTCTAAGTACGAAGCTGTGGGGCTAAGGAGACCTATTCCCAGCGGCGGCGGCTGCCCCTCAGCTCCTTCGCAGCCTTCTCCGGCGTGAATGGCCTGCAAGAGTCTCTGGTTCAGACGTCGGGGCTTCAATTCGGTTGCGTGGCTGAGATCTGGGGTTTGGTTCAGTTTTGGGGACCCTAAACTCTAAACTTGATGAAGAGCTTCTGTTCAACAAGTAGGGCAGGCCCCGGAGGAGTGACCGTTGAGCCAAGGGCCCGCCAGTGGGGTAACTA